AAGAGAGAGAAATCGTTTTCATCTTCTTCTATAACCAGCTAAAAACTTTTATGAACTCACTGGATCTAGTCCCAAAGTCATATTATAATGTCTTCCTTTGATTTTAAAATACTGATTCTTATAGCCAAACACCGGTCTGTTGTGTCAATCAACGCCTTTATTTGTCCAGCTCAAAACTGACCTGGCCAAGACCACCAATCTGTGATACAAGCAAATTAAACACAATTAATCAAAAAACTTCTGGCAGGTCACTTTTCAACATTGGGTTTTAAGTGGAAGTTTGATCGTTTCTAGTCGATGAGAAATGCACCTTTCTTCACAGATGATTGATGATGATTGATAACCTCAGTAAACATTTCCATGAGTTGATAGACTCATTTTCAACACAAGATGTAAAATATGGACCAACTTAGAGTAAAATAGACAATTAAGACAATAAACAATAGATAATTAACAATAAAGCTGGCTAAAAGGCGTGCCCAAGTTATAATTGACAAGACTCCACAATGACAGCCTGTCAACCAGGATGGAGAGATTAGCTGCTGTTACAATCTTACCTCTTCCATCCTAGTTGGCGGTAATGTCTTGAATCTCTCTTCTAGTATTAGTAATTTCTCCTCAAACGAGCTGACAAGTTGATGTCAATTATGCCAAACTCAAGGCTTCAATGCCATATTCCACAATTCAGTGGGTGTAATTATGTTGGCTTCATATATCTTTGACCAATACACAGATTTCTGTAAACGTTTCACAATTAAAGTCACCCTACGCTTTGCCAAATGGACAGTGTTAGATTAAGTCGAGGTAAAATAATATGTGGTGTACACTTAGAGGACCCTCAATGGTCATTTCCTTATGTCAGTCTGTGACACACTGTAATTTAGCTTGATGTGCAGCTCAATAGCTCTCTAACTGGTGCCTGTAAAATCCCTGTTTCATATTCATGTGCATGAAATGTTTCATTTTGGATGCTTGCATACCAATTCAGACACAGCTAATGGATGTTACTTTTCACAAAGCTTTGCTGTCACAAAATGATCTGACAGTGACGCTTCTACAGATGATGTCTGAGGCTAGGCGTTAGTTCCCACCTACCTCCCTAGTTAGTCATGTTAGCCTAGCTTCCTGTTGTTTACATCAGCCGTTGTTTTCTTACCAAAAACTTGTGGATTCTTCACAGAAGTCATCAGGAGATGGAGGAGGTCCGGGTTTCAGTAACTAAGATAAAAATCCAGCTCACAATGACCTTTGCTTAAAAGGGATCTTTATTAGGGTGACCATATTCTAAATCCCCAAAAAGAGGACATGACTACGCGGGGGCGGAGTCACAGAGTTGCGCATTGTTAAGAGTTTTTTGGGTCAGATCAAGTGTTTTTTACCCGCTTCTAACTCAGTAAGTCCACGCGACAAAAACTCAAAACTTCCAAAGTTTTTATAAACTCCCCTGGACAAAGCCGGACATGGACCGACAGCCCCCCAAAAAGAGGACATGTCTGGTGAAAAGAGGGCGTTAGGCCACCCTATCTTTATTGAAGTGGGGAGCACAAACGCCATAAAAAAGTAAGAATTAAAAAAAAATTCCCACTGTATTGTGCTTTCGTCTTTGAGAAGAGAAACTACCTGTGACTTTCCCTCAATGCCAAAAGAACACTTTGGAGCAATGAGTGACGGAAAAAGGTGAACCAGGAAACTGACTTTCCAGTTTCCTTGGGGGAGGGGGTTGTTTGACAGATGATGGGCCATTTGTACAACGTGCTAATTTAACAAAAGTTAGACCCAAACACCAATGTTGGTATTAGTTAACACTACATAGAGAGAATTCTTCTTTGTTGCCTCTACAGTCTGTCTTCCAAGTTGTAATGTCACCAAAAGTGATCCATGCTCCCCAGGTGGAGAAACATGTTTGCTTTGCAGCAAAACACGACAAAACAAAGCACCTCTCTGGCAGTAAAGTAAAGTTGGGCATGCATATGCAGAAGTGAAGCCCAACTCCCATCATGGCTCTCTGCCTGGTTTTTCAACTAAAAAACTGAGCTGACCCTGATCCCCTGTGGGTCTATGAGTACTTCATGCATCACCACTCCAGACAAAGTAATGTACCCCTTTAAGTCTTCGTCATACCTTGCTCACAATACATTCCCACACTTTAAGTTTGCCTGCTTTGTTCCAAAAGCAAGGACAATGCTGAAGTGAAGCTTTTCTCAGAAGGCAAATCATGTTTGAAATAATATGCCGCATTGAGCTTAATATTGACTTTTCTACTTTGTGAAATCGCGGCACTGTATTATTCCTCAGTGCTGCCAGTTTGACCTTGTTCTTTTATCATTATTATTTACATAAAAATAATGATCCAAGTCTCTTTTACAGAAGACATGAGCAACTTGTGGTCCAAGGCCAGAGGAAAAATAAAGTCTCATGAATTTGTAAGAAAACATCTTGGGGAGACAACTAACAGAGCTGCTTTTCTTTGTACATTATGAAAACATGTATGTTTCTTTTATCATAGGCTTTGGCATTTTGTGCAGCAGTGGTGTCAGGAGATTTCACATTTAAATTTTTTTTTTTCTTTTTTTCCCAAAAATAAAAAATAATTATCTTTGGATACAAAAGCTCATGGAGACTTTTCAAAACTCTGGGCTTGTTGTTCAGCAAGAAAAGTGAATCCAAGACAATCTGGCTGCAGACCTCCACTGTGAGGACCCGCTCTACTGAGAGGACCCGAGCCAAGGTTCTTTCTCACATGATCCAGTTCGATTTTGCCTTGAAGATAGTGGAGAGATATGCAAATGAGTTATTGTTTTAGATTCATTTTTACTGCAAACTAAACTAACAGCTGTCCATTTTGCCGATTGAATTAAAATATGAGTAAAATAATTAATTTATGGTGATCATAACAATAGCTGTATATTAAGTTTGTATTTTTTATCTGTAGAATATCAGGTCATATAGAATAAGATTCACATGTATCATTACAGAAGAGGATTAGGACCACTGAAAAGAAAAACAAACAAAAAAAAAGGTCTGATACATATTTTTTTTAATTATTGTTTTGAGGGGAAAAAACTCAGAATTCTGAGATTAATCTCTGGATGATAATTAAAGAAAATTATAATGGACCTTTATTTTTATATTTTCATTTTTTTCCAATGTCCCTAATCCACTTCCGTAATTACCACCTACCGTAGACGAGGCGGAGATACTTTTGTCAATAAATCGTGTTTCAGTCAATGACTGGGAAAAGAATAGTAGTCAAACTGTGATTCACCTATGATTGTAACTCAACTCACCTGACCATGTGAGCTCAGACTAACAATTACAAGACATTAAATTCATGCCAAACATTGGATGATTAAATGTGTTTTTGATTACAAAGGAGACAAGTCATACTTCTTTTTGACCATTTATCACAGTCCCACTGTGTTTTCAGCGACACATCTGTGCTGTGCTAAAGCTACTACAATATTGTTTCAAACAAACAAATTATTGATACCCTGCTTAAACCACACAAACAGTAACCCCCAAATACTACCGTTCTATTTTTTTCCAGATGCCACAGCATGCCGATTAGCACTGATTAACCTGTGCTGGAAAGGAAGTTGGGCACAGACACAAAATAAAACATCTGGCTCCTTTTAAAATAAAACACTGTTTCATGCAGATCGTATTTCATACCATGCATACGTGGGCGGAGACGAACAAGTGAAAGGTTTTCAGACTTAATTTTACCCAGTTGACCCCATGGATGAGGAGATGCTGATTCTAGAAGTCTAGAAGTGGATTTCGCGATTGCATGTTAATCTGTGGGTTTTTCTGAGTTCTCACGATTCCCGCTGTCTGAAATCTGCCACGAAATTCGCCCCGCATCCGGTAGGGATTGGCGGACAGCGAAAATCGTTGCAGCTCCGTAGCAGAGCCGTCAAGGGTGTAGTGGAAATTGGGGGTTATGCTGTAAATTCACTGTTGTGGTCCTCTAAGCTGGTAGCAACATGACATAAAATGGAGGACACACAAAGAAGCAGCAGACTGCGAGCAGCAAACTAGCTGTATTAGCTCTCTGAAAGACATTTAGCTGCTTTTAAAAACTGATGTTCAAGTGTAATTGTTACTCCAAAAACAATGTTTGAGCCTGTGCTCCTTCTGACTACAAATTAAGTTAACTTTTATACTGTAAACTTTTCTTTTAGCTATTTCCATTCAGTCTTGTAACTTGTGATTCATACCAGAAGTGTTCAACTCAAAAATAAAAGCAGTTTAACAATGCAGGAAAAAAAAAAAAAAAAAAACAAGCAACAGAAAAAATCAATCAAGTAAAAGCATGATGAATTACAGATGCTATCTTTTCTCCAAGGCTGATGGATGAATCATAAATTTAATTATCTTTGTAAATGGACGAGGACGTGTACCTTCATTTTGTCCATTAGGAGAGTTTATGAAGTGACGTCTTACTCCACTTTTGTCCTGCTTCAAGAGGACTGATTGAGTGTGTTTATTTGTTCTTTTCTGCCAAGTTAACCTCATACTATCAAGTTTGTGGCCATTTAAAAAAAGTTGAACGTTTCCCTTGGATGATGAAAGCAGTCATTTAGCTGCAAACTTTTGAAACTGCTCACCAGTGTCCATTAAACAACAGATCAGCACCATCTATACGTTTAACTCCAAGTGTGCACATTAATACAGATTTGGTTTTCCAATGAAAAAAAACCAGAAAATATTATTAACCAAGCACATTCACATCAAAATCAGACATAGCACATAACTCGCATTATTCCCCATGTCTGACTTTTATGTTGATGAGCCTTTGGAGCCTGCTGTAGGCATTTTGCTCCTACAAACAGATGCTGGAACATGAAAAGAAATAAAGAACACAGAGGAATACGGTACAATTTTTAAAAAAGGAGATGAATCTGCATAAAGCAGCAGGGCTGTTTGTTCTCTAAATGTAGAACCAGAGGGGGCAAGTGGAGAGTTTCCTTTTCTCAGAGGCCGCTCTTTTGTTTTTTAGGAGAATTAATGTGATTGTGGGTGCTGTCATCTCGGTCCCCAGCGTCCTCTCTTTCCTTGACGTGTTGGAGAGCATCTGTCATGGAGGTCTCTGGTCGTTAGCTCGTCTGTCAGCCTCAGACAGCGGCTCGCTTGTCACTTGTCATTTCCAGCACCATATTCAATCTCGCAGTTTTCTTTAGAGACCCTCCGTCTTTGTCATACATGCCAATATTGATTCTGACAACCGGGAGGAGGCTTTTGTTTCACACCGCCCTCTGGCACTGACTCTTTTTTATTCTTCTCTTTGTGGGTGTCACTGTGTACGTGGAAGAGAGTGGGGGAGTGAGATGGTGGATGTTACCATGGGGATATATCTTTTAAATTCATGCCTGGATGTGGTATAATGTTCAACTCCATGTCACATTTGCTTGTATGTCTGAGGAGTGAGATACCGTTCCAGTGGCTGCTGCTGCTGCTGGGCTTTGACAGACACAAAAATGCACTGAAAATGCATCTCGTCTCTCAGCACGTAGAGTTGAATAAAGAGATCTGGTGTTCATAATGAGCCATCACTAAAAACTGAAAACGCTCTATGCATTCTCATTTTAGGATGTCAAATTCAAAAGCTTTGTAACTGCCACCTTGTCACTGCAGGGTAGCTTTTGTTTTCTAACATATTATTTACATGTAAAAGTCTGTAAACTCAAGCAAAAAGATAAACAAAAACAAGAAGTGTCTTTAAAAACTGATTCAACATTGACTTTTGGCTGCACAAGCTGCTCCTCTTTAAAGGTCCCATGGCATGCCAATTTCACACGACTTAAATAGTCCCCTGGTGTGTTAAAAGAATGTCTGTGACGTCCTTCGGTCAAAATTCTTGTTGAGACAGCTTTTTTAGCTTGTGTACGGGCGGTCTTCCTCCTTTTTAAGCACCCATTATTCTACCAGAGTCTCCGGTATTTTCTTGCTTGTGTTGGCAGTCATGGCTAAAGGAAGATTCAGACAATTTTCTGTACTTTCTGGTTGGTTTTACTGTCCGATATTGTAGCACGCTAACTTTGTTTGGGCTCCTGAATGACACAGGGGAGCAGCGTCTGCCTCACAACCAATCAGCACTAGGGAGCAGCATCTGCCTCACAACCAATCGGGTTGGGGGAGGCGGAGAATGGCTTTGTTTACAGTCAGAAAAAGCGGAGCGCTCAAAAAGTTTAAAATGTTGACTACACAAACACAACAAAATACAGCGATATTGTGATATTACCAAATGTCATCAATGACTAATAGCTATTGACTGATATGAAAAGCTTTTTTGTATGCACACACATAAAGATGTTTCTTTAATGGATTCCTGCCTACCCCACATTTGAACTAAGCTAATGTTAACAGTCTTGGTAACAGCTCCGAGTTAAGCTCTTATTTTATGTGGAAAAATGTTTAAAAATTATAACTGAGTGCCTTTAGAACCTCGTATGCCTTCACTGTTGCACCGATTCCAGCATTGCAAGTCAAGTCAGAGGAATGCTGGAGCCACATGGTGGCAAAAGGGTTTAATATTATTGCACGGCTGACATTATATGATACTGATGAATCAGCACGTAATGCAAAGATGACAACATTAAAGAAAAACTATGAAAAAAACAGTCAGTGGTTTTAGTAATCATTATCCAAGTTAACACCCGCATGAAAAGTTCATTAAAAACCCCTTTATTTCATGATGGACATGTATCCAACTGTGCTTATAATGGCTCAAAAGTAAATGTATTTTCACAGTCTCTTCATAGACATCAATCCACATTGATTCAGCGTTTATGTTTAGACCATGTTTCACTCAGGGACTGCTTCTGTCACAAGATTTATTCCACATTAATGGCAATTTTCATGCAGCATCTCATAAACATACCAGCCAGAAGGATTTTGAAAGTCAGCAGGGGTATTAGAGTCACCATTCATAACCTGGTTAGTACAGCCCGAAAATGAACACAAACCATGAGAGTCAAGCATCCAATACTGTCAGCTACAGGATGTGTTTAAGACATGCTGTATGTTATAGATTCATCAACACATGGTCATGGTGAGGTCACAACAACCTTATTGTCTGAGCTTGTGTAGTTTTCTTTATTTCCATTTGTGGAGAAAATGAAAAGCTGCTTCCTTTATGGTGTGTCTGGAACTTTCTGTTAACATCACACAGCCCATAAAAATGCAGTATTCATGAGTGTAGTCTTTCGGCTGAGAACAGCTTCAACTACAGTAATGGAAAATGACTTTAAAGAGACGCTGTCAAATTAATAATGTCTGTCCACCTTTCAACCTAAAATGAGCAAGTTATCGAAATTTAAGGAAAATGAGTTTTGACATACGTGGGTGTTAAAGCTATATTTCCCTGTTGAAAAGAGCAGAAATTAGGCCTTACACCTTCAGATTTGATTTTAGCCTGTTATAAACTAAGTTTCATCCCTGAAATCCCAGTAATAGATTAATACTGCAGTTACACAGTTACACTCCTAGCTCCAAGCCCAACCCTAACCCTAGCTCCAACACTAACCCTAACTCCAACCCTAACCCTAACCCTAACCCTAGCTCCAACCCTAACCCTAACCCTAACCCATGCATTCCTATGGGGAAAAAATTAAATTTTTTTAGGAACGTCCTAGAGACTCGGGAGTTGGTTCATTGCACTCAGAAAAATCCTAGCTCCAAGCCCAACCCGAACCCTAGCTCCAACCCTAACCCTAACTCCAACCCTAACCCTAACCCTAGCTCCAACCTTAACCCTAACCCTAACCCTAGCCCCAACCCTAACCCTAGCTCTAACCCTAACCCTAACCCTAGCTCCACCCTAATCCTAACCCTAACCCTAACCCTAGCTCCAACCTTAACCCTAACCCTAACCCTAGCTCCAACCCTAACCCTAACCCAAACCCTAACCCTAACCCAAACCCTCGAAACTTTTCAAAAAACTTCCCACAGAATTAGTTTCTATAGACTCCCCGTGCCCTGAAACGTGCTCCTAACACAATTCTGGAAGGTGAAAAATTGGGTTGGCACTTTTTCTAGAGACTTGGGAGTTGGTTCATTGCACTCAGAAAAATCCTAGCTCCAAGCCCAACCCTAACCCTAGCTCCAACACTAAACCTAACTCCAACCCTAACCCTAACCCTAACCCTAGCTCCAACCCTAACCCTAACCCTAACCCATGCATTCCTATGGAAAAAAAATCAAATTTTTTTAGGAACGTCCTAGAGACTCGAGAGTTGGTTCATTGCACTCAGAAAAATCCTAGCTCCAAGCCCAACCCTAACCCTAGCTCCAACACTAACCCTAACTCCAACCCTAACCCTAACCCTAACCCTAGCTCCAACCCTAACCCTAACCCTAACCCATGCATTCCTATGGGAAAAAAATCAATTTTTTTTAGGAACGTCCTAGAGACTCGGGAGTTGGTTCATTGCACTCAGAAAAATCCTAGCTCCAAGCCCAACCCTAACCCTAGCTCCAACACTAACCCTAACTCCAACCCTAACCCTAACCCTAACCCTAGCTCCAACCCTAACCCTAACCCTAACCCATGCATTCCTATGGGAAAAAAAACAAATTTTTTTAGGAACGTCCTAGAGACTCGGGAGTTGGTTCATTGCACTCAGAAAAATCCTAGCTCCAAGCCCAAGCCTCACCCTAGCTCTAACACTAACCCTAACCCTAACCCTAACCCATGCATTCCTATGGGAAAAAATCAATTTTTTTTAGGAATGTCCTAGAGACTTGGGAGTTGGTTCATTGCACTCAGAAAAATCCTAGCTCCAAGCCCAACCCTAACCCTAGCTCCAACACTAACCCTAACTCCAACCCTAACCCTAACCCTAGCTCCAACCCTAACCCTAACCCTAACCCATGCATTCCTATGGGAAAAAATCAAATTTTTTTAGGAACGTCCTAGAGACTCGGGAGTTGGTTCATTGCACTCAGAAAAATCCTAGCTCCAAGCCCAACCCTAACCCTAGCTCCAACACTAACCCTAACTCCAACCCTAACCCTAACCCTAACCCTAGCTCCAACCCTAACCCTAACCCTAACCCATGCATTCCTATGGGAAAAAAAAACAAATTTTTTTAGGAACGTCCTAGAGACTCGGGAGTTGGTTCATTGCACTCAGAAAAATCCTAGCTCCAAGCCCAACCCTAACCCTAGCTCCAACACTAACCCTAACACCAACCCTAACCCTAACCCTAACCCTAGCTCCAACCCTAACCCTAACCCTAACCCATGCATTCCTATGGGAAAAAATCAAATTTTTTTAGGAACGTCCTAGAGACTCGGGAGTTGGTTCATTGCACTCAGAAAAATCCTAGCTCCAAGCCCAACCCTAACCCTAGCTCCAACACTAACCCTAACTCCAACCCTAACCCTAACCCTAACCCTAACCCTAGCTCCATCCCTAACCCTAACCCTAACCCATGCATTCCTATGGGAAAAAATCAAATTTTTTTAGGAACGTCCTAGAGACTCAGGAGTTGGTTCATTGCACTCAGAAAAATCCTAGCTCCAAGCCCAACCCTAACCCTAGCTCCAACACTAACCCTAACTCCAACCCTAACCCTAACCCTAGCTCCAACCCTAACCCTAACCCTAACCCATGCATTCCTATGGGAAAAAATCAAATTTTTTTAGGAACGTCCTAGAGACTCGGGAGTTGGTTCATTGCACTCAGAAAAATCCTAGCTCCAAGCCCAACCCTAACCCTAGCTCCAACACTAACCCTAACTCCAACCCTAACCCTAACCCTAACCCTAGCTCCAACCCTAACCCTAACCCTAACCCTAACCCATGCATTCCTATGGGAAAAAAATTAAATTTTTTTAAGGAACGTCCTAGAGACTCGGGAGTTGGTTCATTGCACTCAGAAAAATCCTAGCTCCAAGCCCAACCCTAACCCTAGCTCCAACACTAACCCTAACTCCAACCCTAACCCTAACCCTAACCCTAGCTCCAACCCTAACCCTAACCCTAACCCATGCATTCCTATGGGAAAAAAAACAAATTTTTTTAGGAACGTCCTAGAGACTCGGGAGTTGGTTCATTGCACTCAGAAAAATCCTAGCTCCAAGCCCAACCCTAACCCTAGCTCCAACACTAACCCTAACTCCAACCCTAACCCTAACCCTAACCCTAGCTCCAACCCTAACCCTAACCCATGCATTCCTATGGGAAAAAAACAATTTTTTTTAGGAACGTCCTAGAGACTCGGGAGTTGGTTCATTGCACTCAGAAAAATCCTAGCTCCAAGCCCAACCCTAACCCTAGCTCCAACACTAACCCTAACTCCAACCCTAACCCTAACCCTAACCCTAGCTCCAACCCTAACCCTAACCCTAACCCATGCATTCCTATGGGAAAAAATCAAATTTTTTTAGGAACGTCCTAGAGACTCGGGAGTTGGTTCATTGCACTCAGAAAAATCCTAGCTCCAAGCCCAACCCTAACCCTAGCTCCAACACTAACCCTAACTCCAACCCTAACCCTAACCCTAACCCTAGCTCCAACCCTAACCCTAACCCTAACCCATGCATTCCTATGGGAAAAAATCAATTTTTTTTAGGAACGTCCTAGAGACTCGGGAGTTGGTTCATTGCACTCAGAAAAATCCTAGCTCCAAGCCCAAACCTCACCCTAGCTCCAACACTAACCCTAACTCCAACCCTAACCCTAACCCTAACCCTAGCTCCAACCCTAACCCTAACCCTAACCCATGCATTCCTATGGGAAAAAATCAAATTTTTTTAGGAACGTCCTAGAGACTCGGGAGTTGGTTCATTGCACTCAGAAAAATCCTAGCTCCAAGCCCAACCCTAACCCTAGCTCCAACACTAACCCTAACTCCAACCCTAACCCTAACCCTAACCCTAGCTCCAACCCTAACCCTAACCCTAACCCATGCATTCCTATGGGAAAAAATCAAATTTTTTTAGGAACGTCCTAGAGACTCAGGAGTTGGTTCATTGCACTCAGAAAAATCCTAGCTCCAAGCCCAACCCTAACCCTAGCTCCAACACTAACCCTAACTCCAACCCTAACCCTAACCCTAACCCTAGCTCCAACCCTAACCCTAACCCTAACCCATGCATTCCTATGGGAAAAAAACAAATTTTTTTAGGAACGTCCTAGAGACTCGGGAGTTGGTTCATTGCACTCAGAAAAATCCTAGCTCCAAGCCCAACCCTAACCCTAGCTCCAACACTAACCCTAACTCCAACCCTAACCCTAACCCTAACCCTAGCTCCAACCCTAACCCTAACCCTAACCCATGCATTCCTATGGGAAAAAATCAATTTTTTTAGGAACGTCCTAGAGACTCGGGAGTTGGTTCATTGCACTCAGAAAAATCCTAGCTCCAAGCCCAACCCTAACCCTAGCTCCAACACTAACCCTAACTCCAACCCTAACCCTAACCCTAACCCTAGCTCCAACCCTAACCCTAACCCTAACCCATGCATTCCTATGGGAAAAAATCAATTTTTTTTAGGAACGTCCTAGAGACTCGGGAGTTGGTTCATTGCACTCAGAAAAATCCTAGCTCCAAGCCCAACCCTAACCCTAGCTCCAACACTAACCCTAACTCCAACCCTAACCCTAACCCTAACCCTAGCTCCAACCCTAACCCTAACCCTAACCCATGCATTCCTATGGGAAAAAATCAAATTTTTTTAGGAACGTCCTAGAGACTCGGGAGTTGGTTCATTGCACTCAGAAAAATCCTAGCTCCAAGCCCAACCCTAACCCTAGCTCCAACACTAACCCTAACTCCAACCCTAACCCTAACCCTAACCCTAGCTCCAACCCTAACCCTAACCCTAACCCATGCATTCCTATGGGAAAAAATCAAATTTTTTTAGGAACGTCCTAGAGACTCGGGAGTTGGTTCATTGCACTCAGAAAAATCCTAGCTCCAAGCCCAAGCCTCACCCTAGCTCCAACACTAACCCTAACTCCAACCCTAACCCTAACCCTAACCCTAGCTCCAACCCTAACCCTAACCCTAACCCTAGCTCCAACCCTAACCCTAACCCTAACCCATGCATTCCTATGGGAAAAAATCAAATTTTTTTAGGAACGTCCTAGAGACTCGGGAGTTGGTTCATTGCACTCAGAAAAATCCTAGCTCCAAGCCCAACCCTAACCCTAGCTCCAACACTAACCCTAACTCCAACCCTAACCCTAACCCTAACCCTAGCTCCAACCCTAACCCTAACCCATGCATTCCTATGGGAAAAAATCAAATTTTTTTAGGAACGTCCTAGAGACTCAGGAGTTGGTTCATTGCACTCAGAAAAATCCTAGCTCCAAGCCCAACCCTAACCCTAGCTCCAACACTAACCCTAACTCCAACCCTAACCCTAACCCTAACCCTAGCTCCAACCCTAACCCTAACCCTAACCCATGCATTCCTATGGGAAAAAATCAAATTTTTTTAGGAACGTCCTAGAGACTCTGGAGTTGGTTCATTGCACTCAGAAAAATCCTAGCTCCAAGCCCAACCCTAACCCTAGCTCCAACACTAACCCTAACTCCAACCCTAACCCTAACCCTAACCCTAGCTCCAACCCTAACCCTAACCCTAACCCATGCATTCCTATGGGAAAAAATCAAATTTTTTTAGGAACGTCCTAGAGACTCGGGAGTTGGTTCATTGCACTCAGAAAAATCCTAGCTCCAAGCCCAAGCCTCACCCTAGCTCCAACACTAACCCTAACTCCAACCCTAACCCTAACCCTAACCCTAGCTCCAACCCTAACCCTAACCCTAACCCATGCATTCCTATGGGAAAAAATCAAATTTTTTAGGAACGTCCTAGAGACTCGGGAGTTGGTTCATTGCACTCAGAAAAATCCTAGCTCCAAGCCCAACCCTAACCCTAGCTCCAACACTAACCCTAACGCCAACCCTAACCCTAACCCTAACCCTAGCTCCAACCCTAACCCTAACCCATGCATTCCTATGGGAAAAAATCAAATTTTTTTAGGAACGTCCTAGAGACTCGGGAGTTGGTTCATTGCACTCAGAAAAATCCTAGCTCCAAGCCCAACCCTAACCCTAGCTCCAACACTAACCCTAACTCCAACCCTAACCCTAACCCTAACCCTAGCTCCAACCCTAACCCTAACCCTAACCCATGCATTCCTATGGGAAAAAAATCAAATTTTTTTAGGAACGTCCTAGAGACTCGGGAGTTGGTTCATTGCACTCAGAAAAATCCTAGCTCCAAGCCCAACCCTAACCCTAGCTCCAACACTAACCCTAACTCCAACCCTAACCCTAACCCTAGCTCCAACCCTAACCCTAACCCTAACCCATGCATTCCTATGGGAAAAAATCAAATTTTTTAGGAACGTCCTAGAGACTCGGGAGTTGGTTCATTGCACTCAGAAAAATCCTAGCTCCAAGCCCAACCCTAACCCTAGCTCCAACACTAACCCTAACTCCAACCCTAACCCTAACCCTAACCCTAGCTCCAACCCTAACCCTAACCCATGCATTCCTATGGGAAAAAAATCAATTTTTTTTAGGAACGTCCTAGAGACTCGGGAGTTGGTTCATTGCACTCAGAAAAATCCTAGCTCCAAGCCCAACCCTAACCCTAGCTCCAACACTAACCCTAACTCCAACCCTAACCCTAACCCTAACCCTAGCTCCAACCCTAACCCTAACCCTAACCCATGCATTCCTATGGGAAAAAATCAAATTTTTTTAGGAACGTCCTAGAGACTCGGGAGTTGGTTCATTGCACTCAGAAAAATCCTAGCTCCAAGCCCAACCCTAACCCTAGCTCCAACACTAACCCTAACTCCAACCCTAACCCTAACCCTAACCCTAGCTCCAACCCCACACCTAACCCTAACCTTAGCTCCAACCTTAATAACGGCTTACAACCAGAAAAAGAACCTCTATTACATTTTTCTAAAACTATATAACATTATAACAGAAGCTAGCGCGGCCTTAGTCATTTTCTGTCAAAGTGTCCTTTTGAGAACGTTTAATATATGCATAACTATGTGAAAAGTAAAACCCACAAGCTATGTCTAACTTTACATCATTAAAGCATCAGCCAAAATTATGCTTTCTAGGCAGAGGCAGGATGGTGCTGAAATGAGGGTTTTCACAGATAAAGTTTTTTGAGCTGCAGATCACACAAAACTACTCTCTAGGTGTTCCAAACTGACATAACTGAAAGTGAAAATGAGACTAATAGATCTCCTTTAAGATAACTAAACAAAGCCAAGAGGTAAAAAGTCGTGACTTTGTCTTCTAAACGTCAGCAACCTCATCAACACAACCACCCCAAAAAAAAAAAAAACGGCCCACTCTCGATGCTCTGGAGGATTACCTGCTATTCCAACATATTTGACATTTGAGTTTCAAACCGGACTGCTGTTATGAAAGAGGTATTTTAAGAAGCAAGCAAACAAAGTTGACTCCAAAGAGACACTGCCGCTACAAAGCACACAAGTTCTGACCCCGAGGCTAACGTTAGCTAGTATACCACTGTTGACAGATATTAAAACTGACAGTTAATATCTCACCTAAGGCTCCAGCTGAGGAATTGGCGACTACTGTTAACTGTGTCTCTCCAAATATTTTATCCAGGCTTGTATAACCTTCTGTCTTCCCTTCTTGAGTCTCTGCTTATTTCACTGCAGTTACATTTCCACCAAGCTGGTCTGTATTTGTATAGCCCTGCTCCCTGTAAGCTCATTCAGTTCATTATCCCATCAGTGTGTCTCGTTTTGGTCAAACTATTTTGTACTTTTTGGGTGTGGGTGACTTGACAAAGATGTGCATCTGATAAGTTTTCATATGATGCACCCCGATTTCAAAATTGGTTGAATGTCAAAACTCTGATGGTCTGAGTCTGGCTTTGAGGAAGGATTTGCAGCTCACTAAACTAAATGGATGAAAATGAGCCTCCATAAAAGGTGTGAGGTGCACTCAGACTAGCGTAAGCGCCCTGTACCTGGCACATACCTTAAATCTGAGAGTCACCTATGATTTTGATGGTAACCCTTTCTTTTACGGTACACTTTTTACCAGGTAATTAACAGGTAATTACCTAGTAACAACATGAAATTATCTGGTAATTACATGATAACTACTAAGTCAATACTGTCTAGTTTTTCTTTTTTCTGTGCAGCTCCATTTTCAAAAGCTATTTGGGGTTCTTATTTTCTATGATTGACACTTGATCCAGCCTATTGGCATGCAAAGATTGCATAGCGATACGCTGTTTGAGCCGAGCATTATCACTCGGCTCATTATAGATGTTGCGCAAGTGGTGGTTCCAAGAAGCTGAGAAAATCCTGGAAATGCCAGAGCAATTTGGCTTCAAATTTGTATGATGATGGAAGGTTACCTACCTGGTAGCTAGACAGTATTGACTTAGTAGTTATCATGTAATTACCAGATAATTTCATGTTGTTATTACCTGTTAATTACCTGGTAAGAAGTGTACTGTAAAAGAAAGGGTTACCATTTTGATTGTAATGGCACATTGTGATTGGCACAGACAGCTGACTTGAGGAAAATCACTGAGGTATGTGTTGTGTTTTCTGAGGTTATATTGAGGGATGATATTACAGATGTTGTACTTTTTGGTATCAGCACTTGATTGTTCAGTCCAGGTAGTACCATTAAAGTGACGTCAACATTCAGCCTTAAACCTGGGCTTTAAATAAAAGTGTTTAGTCAACAAGCTGTGTAGAGACTTTGGTGTATGTTAGAAAGGAGCAAAATAACAAAGGACAAGGATTGTATTGACACAGTGAGGGACATCAATCGGGGGCATCAACTGGGGCTACAAATAAGACCTACTTTTATAAATTCCATCAAGCCTGCCCAGTTAAAATGATAGGTAACTGTTCACAGTTTAGTTAACAAACTGTCACATGGTTTAATTGTCTACATTATGTTTTAATTTAAGTTTATTTCATTTCAAAGTAATACCTTTTTGTTTGTCTTTGCTCGAGCTCACTTGACAAAAGACCACCTGCAGCTCCACGATGGCCTCTTAAACCCTACCCACAGGAGCTGGGACAAACCATCAAGGAGGAAACATGGAGAAGCTTGGACTTTCAATTCATCATAAAACTTTTGTCTGGTCCCTTACAACTGATATGAAATCTTTGGCTAAATGTCAGGTTGTCAAGTTAGGTTTAATGATGCTCTGGAGAGTCTGCATTTCATTGAAGTTTTACAGCAGTCTAGCTCAAATGCATGCTTCATGCAGGAAAAGTTTAATTTTACTGCATTTTTGTGGTTTTGGGACAGCTTTTAGACTGGAAACTATCAGCCATATCTGAAAACACTGTCCGCATGTTGAGGCAAACAGGCTCCAGCTCTAACAACAGACAGCATCTGACATCAGCATACAGCAGATGGGGCAGGTGGGCTGGGCTTCCTCTTTCCTTTACTGTCACGGCAGGAATTGTGTAAAAGGTGCTAATAAGACGAGTAGCTGGCGGGAAGAGCAGCTTGGGCCCCAGATGGAGCTCTTAACCCAATCTGACTAAACGCTGATGGTGATAAAAATAGTTATCTGAAAAAAAGGTCTTTCAGACACATGAGTGAGTTTAACACACCAAAGATGTCTTTTTTAACTATGATAAGGAAAATACTGAGTCATTCTCCGATAAATGCAGAATGAGCTGTACTGTATTTTACTCACTGTTAGACCATTAAGACCGGTCAGATGTGAGTTTTGTAGCTGGCTGCAGGTGGTGAGGCCTGATAGTCTGGATTTCAGCCAGTTTGATACAGTTTTGGTACAAAGCAAAAAGGCTCAGTGACAACTGGTCCGAGGTCTCCAGAAGCGTCAGGGTTGGACTGGTAGAGAAACATGTTTTCTAAGTTTGACTCAGAAAGCTTAGCATGATATTTCAGAGCCATGAAAATACAGTTATGGGTATTTATTGTTTTTTCCTCCAGAAGCTGATTCTTAATGCTTTTGATTTCTGCTTCTGTTTTTCAGGAGTTTGGCTGCATTTAAAGAGGTTTGCAACCCTGTCTTCAGTGTGTTATGCACTCCTTTTTTAGTCAACCCAGCTGTCTACAAAGGAAGCACAATGGTTTATCCTCGCTCTAACACCATAAGTGTGACCTCAGGCTCATTTTTACACCTTGTCTTTTGTCTTTTCTTTCATGCATGAAAAAGTGAGTTAGAACACAATACTGCCAAAAGGTGGGTGTCCTGCAGAGGTGAAGCTAACGTGCTTCTCATGCTGTGTAGACAGGTTGTTAGATAGCGTCATACCTACAGTATTACAAGAGTTACATGGATACAGTGAGATGAATACGATAAATCTAACACCTCAACCCAGGCGTCAAGTTTGCACTTGCAGCCTTCAGCTCACAGAACCTCCTCAGCTCTGTTGCAGAGAAAGATCAATGTTCAGCTTCTGCACCATACTGGGTCCCAGTCCAGTGATAAAATATCATTTATCTCCTAAGTGTCCAAAGTCAAGCACGTTCACTGTAGGGGGTTATATGCATGAGGCACAAGATGTCCTAATCAGGTGTCACACTTCTAGCTAGGGCCACATTAATAATGGCAACCAGGGAAATCCTTTGGTACATTACAGCAACTGCTTTGATCAGGATTGTTGTCATTTATCATCAACGAGGATTCAACCTTACAAAAATGAAGCACTCAGTCAGCTACAAACAGAATTGAATCTTACAGGCTCATTATCCTGCCACTTGATAAGATAGTGGCTGCCATGGTGCAAAACTCAAAGCTTCAGATTAACCTTATGTTTTCCACTTTTTATAAAAACTAGTCTTTTGTTTTCTCCTATCAAAACAAAGATACATGTTTGGTATTAAAATAATTTCTGATACTCACTACGACTGAATTGTGTTCAAAATTGTCCTGGTCATGGTGGTAAACAAGGGTGGGAAAAAAACTTAAAAAAATAATTTAAGAAATTAAAAAAAATATATTGGAAAGTTTGCAAACCTGTATGTTTCACCAGTGAGTCACGGTTGGGAGAATTTTTAGATCTCCTGAATATAGAAAGGGCAGCATGCCTGCTAAAAGACAAAAATTTGGATGACAACTGGGACATTATCTACAACAGTCTCATTAATTGATTGGTTTATCCTTCTTTATTCCTTTTTATTTTTTTCTCTTTGATGAACATTAAAGGACCCACCCCCCTTTTCTTTTTTATTTATTTATTTATTTTTGGAGTGCGTTTTTGTCCTGTCTGTGTGGGATTTGTTTGTATGCTGTTTTAAGTTGTAAATACAAATACAGATACAAATAATAATAATAATAATAATAATAATTCAATTCAATTAAAAGACAAAAATAGTGCATTGCCATATACCCTGTATGACAGCACTATGCACAAGTGCACAAGAAAGGTGTGGCAAATAAAAAGCTAATACAACAGAATTAACAGCAAGTGTGTTGAAATGCAGAAAATTCAAAGATAAAGTACAAAATAAAAGATAAAAACATTAAATTGGAAGCGTTCAGCTGATTAAAAAATATTGCCAATTTTCTTGAGTTACCTTTTCTGGCTTAAAACAAAGTCAAAAACATTTTGTGAAGCTTTTTTTGTTTGAGGCTAAGTGAATGTGATTAGTGGAGATAAATGTCTTCAGTCCAACACAGTGACCACTCATGGCCAACCCTACAAAAGTCTTTGGCCCAATTCGGCCGCCAAGTCAAGTCTGGATCCACCGCAGAATATGCAGTGATTTTTTTTTCTGCATTTATTTTCTAGTTTGGTGTGTGTATTCGATTTTGCAGTCTTACTGTGTGACATTGTATTGATGACTAACTCTAGCCAGTAATTTTATTGTTTTTGCTGTGCATTTGTGTCTTTGCATTTGTTATAAACGTGTGATTTTGTTTTTACAAGGCTGCGTTATTTCTACATGTGTTCAAACACTAATGGAGATCAACTGTACTGTTGCAGATCAGCCGGCCTTGTCATCCACCAAAGTCAATTTTTATGTTACAAACTGAATTATGTAACATCAACACAAACTGTCATCACAAAAGCCTAAAACAAGATTGTAAAAAATAGCACCTTATATACATGTTAAGGCGATGAATAACAGCAGTATGAATGGCTGTTTGCAGCATGTTGCCTCTACCTAAATACTGCATGTGTGGACTCTGCTTAATGTGTTAGTTTGTGCAGTATGAGTGTGTTTGACTGTGTGTGTTTGTGGTGTTTTCATCTAATGAGAGCTGGCACATTGGGTGAATGCAGACGCTCCAGCCCCATTAGCCCAAACATCTCGCTCAGGGTCAAAAGAACTCGCTCTCCGTTTGTAGCTGGGGGCAGATGGTCGTGCCATCATGGAGTCTGGGCTGGTGCTGGTGTGCAAACTTGTGTGTATGTACAGGTTGTTACTGTGTCGTTGTGAGTGTGTTTCCTGGCCAGCTGGGTGTATATTGGTGGGGCTTGGTGGGGGTTTTTGGACAGCCAAAAAGAACATTGCTCATCTGCATCATTTCTCTTCTGCATGTATGTCAGGATACCTGAAGACATGCAGTCTGCACAGAGGAAACTTTCTCTCATCCAGAACAGCCTGTAAGGCTTTATCCTCAGCCTGTAAGGGTGTGCAATGAGAGTCTACTCCGCTTTGAATAAATGTTCAACATTAGGAGCATTCTAATATGAGTGTTTACTGTTCAGAGTTAAGAGTTTAGTTAGTGCTGTTCAATTTTAGTGCTGTGGAACTAAGACTGATCCATGGATGGAATAAATGGACTATGTCCCACCCTTCAACTCTAATACAAATAACTGTTTTAATACTGTTAGCATTTTTCTACATTGTTGCTACCAGGTAGTAGTAAACTTCTACTTGCAGTAGATAGCAGTGCGCACAGTTTTCAAATTCAATAAAAAATACTATTACAGTTACAAATGTTTGCAGGGACTTGTTATGGCGTCAGGGACACATCTGTGTCGACATAAAAGACAAGAATATTATAGCTTTTGTACAGGAGGGAAACTTTGTCCACTACCTGGACTAACATTTCTAATCCATGCATCACATTTAATAACACACCTCTCTAAAGAGAGTTGCCAGAGAGCCTGGTGCTGCAAACAGCAGCGATACGGGTGCTGCTCACGTTGGCTTGAAGAAGGAGTCCCTCCATCCATCAACAACAAAGGCCTGATATTTAAATCACTGCCAGCTCCACAATGTGTGAGCCAGGAAGGACGAAACTGACCGATTTTAAAGAGTGTTGTTGAAGACATGCTTCACATATCAACTGGTGAGTCTGCTCCTCTAAAGGAGCTAATTATAATCCAGTGTTTTGGTTGGAAGAGTGACCTTGTTAAACACCAATTTTTCAGCCAAATGAGTCTCTTTCAAATGCTTTTGGTATTTCATTAAGGAAATAGCTGATGAGTATACTTTTGCTATAAATTCAAAAAAACAAAAAACAATGTTAAACTCGGATGCAATTTTGAAGACTCTTGTTGTTGGAAGCAGGTCCAGTATCTACACATTTCGCTGAGGTGGCCAGTCCACAGGGTCACTTCTGAGTCCAAAACACGGGAGAGAACAGAAGCAGGGTATGTTAATAAGGTACAAATGCACAATAAAGTGAGGTCAAAGTTACTTTACCAACTAATCACTTTTATAATGCAGTGACTTGAGGTTAAAATAACATACAGGATCCATATTGAGCGTGTTCCGTCAGCGTCGTGTGTCATGTTGCCATTCTAATCAATGCAGCAACACACACAGGACTCGTATCAGCTCAGTTTCAGAAGCGTATCGAGTCTATTTTTGCTGCTCTACGTGTCAACACGCATCAATCTACACAGAGAAGATCGTTTGGTGCAAAATGATCATTCACCGTTTTTGATCTGTCCTAGTAAAACATCAGATTCAATGTCTGTTTATTCTTTTTATTATGTCTGTCATCATGAAGACTCCATGTCTTACTTTTACTGAAAACTTGCGTGTGTTGGACGGAAACTTCATGTTTAGAGTAATTCTCTCAGAAATTAAGTTTGAACATGTGTTTATAAGTTAATTCTCATGTGACACCCTAAGGTGGTCTTATCAATGATTTGTCCTTTAACAGGAACTCTTTAAACCTCCCTCCATCTCTGCTCAGCATGGGTCATGTTCCCGCTTCAGGTGTGGTTGTATCTAATTTGTAGCAATGATTCCAATTTTCTGCCTGGAATTAAATTACGGAGAGTGGATAACAGATTTGCTGCAGCCTAGGACCGCTCAGTCATTACCACCTGATGACGATGTGGTGTTGATTTCCGCCTGAGGCTGTGCAAAGAAAAGGAAGTTCAGAGTCTGCAGATGTTCCTACAACTGCCTCAGGTGAGGATCTATAGCTGAGGAGCTTTTCTTTCTCCTCTGTCTATATAATCACATCAGACTAAGTCTGTGTCACGTTGAAGGACTTGAAGAGCCAGAGGAAAAAGGACGTTAGTGGTCAGTTCAACCTACATGTGCAGGAAAAAGTTTTCTTACAGGAGACAAAGCTACCATTTTCTCAACCACAGCAGCAGCAGCAGCACTATAAGCCATTGTGACTGAATACAACCAGCAAGTTCACATTTGTTCAGCAGGCAGCTGTCTACAGTGACAGGATTTCACAAACTCAACCTGTGAGTCTACTTCCTTTGTAGTCCTGTTGAGATATCCATCAACAAACTGTACTACCGATGAAAAATGTATTTTTGCACATAAATGTGTCACAGGGGCTGATCACAGACTCAGGCGCAGACAACAGAGAGACACAGCAGACAAGCGGATCCAAAAAAAATAAATAAATAAATACTGAATTACCAAAACAGCTAATAACGCAGGCAGTAGAGATCGTCTGATAAACAAAAGAACTAAACACCCCTAAAGGAAAACTACTGTCTGGAGGGATAAGTAACAAAGGAACTTCTACAACCAAAAAAAAAAAAAATCTAAAGTAACTGAACTCAGAGAAGCTAAAGTTTCTAGCAGATAAAAAAAACAAACTCAGAAAACTAACTAACCAGGCTAAAAACTGAAAAGAAAACTAAACACACTTCACAACTAAGAACTACCCTGGCTTGAACAAACTGACCCAGAGAGCAAGTAGGGAACCTTGGTGCAGGATCAGTCAAGGGAGAGGATGAGGGAAGGCAGGCTGAGGAGTTGTGTGGCGTGGCTGAGTGGTTTAGAAGTCCTGCAGATCAGTAGAATGGAGCAGGCAGGTTGGGCTGGTAATTGTGATAAAAAAAACAAAGGATTAGCATCCAAGGTGCAACAAAAAAGGCAGCAAGGTTGATCAGAATTCAGTAAACTAACTGTGTCTTTACAACGGTCCAGATCAGAGTTGTGGCTGCGGTCTGGTTTTATGGCAGAGGTTGGAGAGTCTGGTGATTACCAATTGCCTGCACCTGTCTGTGCCTGACACACCTCAATCACGCCCACCTGGGGAAAAGAAAAAGAGAGCAGAGAGGGTATGGCAAAAAGCTCTTGACTTTAGCTAAATATATTTGTAACTAGGCTTTGGTACATGAAAACATTGGTTAGAGTCAATTATTTAAAGTATGCTCATTCCCCTGGGGTGGACACATCACATATTCTGCTCTGACACTACGTGGATGTAATGGGTAGGCATATAGCGAACAGGAGAAAAAAGCAGGGCTCTCAAGTCTCCCAATCATTCTGCCCCTGTCATACTTCAATTCTCTTCTCCTCTCTGCTCTCAGTTTGTCACATTAGGAAAGATTGTTTCATCTCCCCTTTACCTCTGTCATCTCTAGATATTATGTGAAAGAAAAGTGGTCTGTATGGTTTGTGTTTGAGTTTCATATAAGTAGCAGTAAAGAGTCTGAAAATACTGCCCAGTGCTCCTGGGTACTTGGCCGTCAGAAGTCATAGAGGAGCAGATTCTTACAAAGAATAAGACACATTACAATCTCCACAGAGAAACCTTTGTAACCGTTAGTCACTTTGAGTTTCATTTCAAGGGCTGTGATGTGTAAACTTAATGCACCTCCACCACAGCGGTGTGCTCTGACTACCATTGGCCTTCTTACAGGAAGCCCCAGGTAGCGAGCAGAGGGTGAGTCCCTGCAGGCTATTAGTGTTGTATTCTCAGTCTTAGAGCTGCCCTGTAGAGAAGCTCGGTCCCTGCTGAGGAATCAACAGCTGAGCATCTCACACTCCCTCCCTCCTCACAGTAAAGGGTACAGGGATGCGGTTCATTTCAGGCCACTCATAGGAATACTGATGTTGTATGCAGGCCTGAGCAAGTCATTACAATCATTAAACTTATTCAATAATTGTTGAGATTTTCACTCAGATTCTTGTGGTGTCCAAAAGGGAGTTAGAGAGTCGGTAAAGTCAGCGTGGCCCCATGAGTGTTGGTATAAGATGGCTGGTATTAATCCTTGGTACTAAAAGAGCTCTACCTTCCAATAGAGGTACAGATACTTGAGGGCAAAAAGACTCTATGATGGTAAAACTACTGATCAAACCTCAGGTGTAGTAAAGTCGTAAAAGGGCAGGATGTAAAATGCACTCAGCATAAAAGTTTCAGCAGACTTCTCAAGAGCACAGACGCCTCTGTCTTATCTGTGAAGCTGTTGAATTTGAAGTGCGGGACTTTCTGTTGGTGTTGACTTTTACGCCCCCTGTGATTGAAGTGATACCTTTTCAAATTTACACAGATGTTTCATGCATTGATGCGTTTTTGCATGAAGGGCCCAGGGGCCATGGCCCTTCTAAAGTGTGCTGCTGTAGAAGTTGATTATGGGCTTCTCTATTTCATACATCTATAAATATTTGTTATTGAACATGCCTTTAAAGCAAACTCATTCTTGTTTCCACTAAGAAATGTCAGCAACTTTTTTAAATGCTGAAGTCAATTTTTTATCCGAGAAAGAATTTTATAGTCTGGCTATGTGGACCAAGCTCTGGCACCAGTTGTACAGGGAAAGAACAGAACCTCATCAGGGTGTCAGGAACCCCATACTCCTGGAGCATCACCCACAGGATTCCCAGAGGGACACAAGTCAACAAAGCACATGTGGAATGGTTGGGCAAACTCCCATACACCCTCAAGGATTCTTCCGAGGGTGTAGAGCTGGTCCACAGTTTCACGACCAGGACAAAAACCACATTGATTCTCCTGAATCTGAGGTTCAACTATCAGATGAACCCTCCCCTCCAGGACCACTGTATAGACCTTACGGGGGAGGCTGAGGAGTGTGATCCCCCTATAGTTGGAACACACCCTTCAGTCCCCCTTCTTAAATAGGGGGACCACCACCAGCCCGACAACATCCAGGACCTTGAGAACTCTAGACTTTCATTAAACACTGGGGCCATCGACTAACTTTTTAACAACCATGGTAACCTCAGCCCCAAAGATAGAAGTGTTCACATCTGAGTCCCCCAGCCCTGCTTCCTCAGTGGTAGGAATTTTGGTAGGGTTGAGGAGGTCTTCGAAGTTTTCCTTCCACCAATCAACAACGTCCAGAGTCGAGGTCAGCAGCCAATATAATCCACCATTACCTTCTCAGATGCTGGATTGTGGTCCAGAAACTCTTTGAACTGTATCATCTTTTGAATGGGATGAAATCTTACCATGGGACCGATAAATTATAACACAGTATTCTCATATTTAGTTGTAAAAGAAAAGATTTTTTTATAACTTTTTCATAACTTTATTGCAATAATCACACAGTTATGATTCAATTACAATTATTTCCAAATGGAGCACTGCATTATTTTCCTGCTTATTTCATTTTTCCAAAGAAATTGTAAAAGGAAAATTACAAATAAAGAATTTTATACACACTTACACACTTATTCATATCAGCAAGACCCAAACTTGTGTTGCACTTATATGTATAAATACACAAATTATATATTTATATATATATATAGACAGATAGATAGATAGACAGATAGATAGATAGATATATGACTACATATATAATACATGTAAATGCATGTGAGTGAATTCATGAACATAAAACCAACACAACAAAACAAAGCGAAACAAAAAGAAAACTTTATCTAAGGAACTGAAGTTATAATAAACATCATTCAACTATTCTCACATTTGTCTGATAATTAATTGAACTGATTTGTATTGAAGGCTTCTCTTTTTGATCACCAACACTGACAGAAGAGAAGTTTGCGTCATCCAAGAACAAAAAATAACCCACAATAGATGCCTAAAAATGTGAGGCTATTTTAGGAACATTTGAGATTTTCCGTCTTTTGACCTCCCTGTGAAATCACTGACCTCTGATACCCATAATTAGCAGAACTCCCATGATAACACTATCTGCCTATGCAAAAGGCCTGTGATCTAAAGCCTGCATAGCATTATGCAGATGTCCTTTTCACGTCCCAGATAAAAAGAGAACATAATTGGCTTTGAAGCAGGATGGTTCGATTTCCATCAATCTACTTGTGACCTGAGGGGATTGAACATTATGTGTGAATACTAATACTAAAGAAAATCTATAAATTCCAACTAACATAGACTTTTGATTGACTGACTCTTTGTCTCACACCGTTTGTCTTTGTCTTTGGTCTCACTTTTTCACTTTTTGGCTACATAATCAGCTCTGAGTTGTCATTTGTTTGCTTATGATTTGATACCTCAAAGCCTTGGAAAAAAAAGCAATTACATGTTTCTTAGCTGATGCCTGAGCTCCTCTTTTGTAAACCTCAGCTGCAGAGACAAATACTTTACTCCTGCATGCCCTTAAACACAACTGATCTTGTTGTCTTTTATAAAAAGCACTTTGTGTCTTTGTATCCCTTGGCAAAACCCTCCATAACAAAGCTCCCTCACACACATAAACAGACTTACAAAGAGAAAATATCAATCTCTCTGAGGGGTTACTGCACAAGATTACAAGGCGCAGAGATGTGAGCCTGCACGGGGGCTCTTATTGCTGTGTGCCCCATAAAACACACATCTGTCCCTAATGACGGCTTCACCGCCCTAATCAAGTGCTCATAAATGCTGCCTGAAACATCACTTCAGAGCTGTCAGAGCACATTCGGTTTACGCTCCGTGTGTGCTGCTGACTCAATATAATGCAAAACAGTTTGCCTTGTCTACCTTTATAGAGACTCAGCTGATTGTGTGTGTGAGAGAGCATGGCCGCTGTGATATTTGATTCCCACAGTCTTGTCTGCAAGGTTAGGATGTTCCCTGAGCATATGAATGAGTTTTGCGGCTGTATCACAAAGGGGGTTTTACCTGAAATAAACCATAGAAAATGAAAGCCAATCAAGAGCTATGTGAGCCCTCTTCTAGTCTGCTTGTTGTCAGAGCCAATCAGAGAGGAGAACAATCGGAGACAAAAGCAGCACCTGTAGGATTGCAAAGGCACAAGATTGAAAGTAACGCTGTTTGTCATACAAACCGCTGTCTGGAAATAGTCGTGGCATGCACTTTATATGATTGATAGGCGACAGTCACACATTTAAAATCATTTTATCAAGAGGAATCCAGTTGGTTGGTACTTCTCAAAAATGGATGTTGCTTTCTGTTCAAGCGTGAAAAAAACATGCTGAAGAAAAAAAAAAAACTCTCTTGATTTCTTTTTCTGCAGGCAAATGAATCTCACCGCTGTTTTCTCTGCCTTGTATTTTATTCTCTCATTGGTTTTGGGTCATCACTGCAGCCATGGTTGGTCAAAGCAAATTTCACACTGCAGGATTTTTAAATCACAGACAGGCCTGAATATTCAGAGATGACAGAAGCACAAACAGACTTTATACAAGTAAGAGTACAAATACAAGCCTTTAAAATAACTGGTGTAAGAAGCAGCGCTCATAAAACTTCATTCTCTGAGATGCACAAAGCATAAATCTGCCATTTAATTAGGATTGCATTTGCCTGCAGTCACAGGTGCTATTAAAGGGATGACAGATAACATTGAATGGTTGATTCATGTGACACTCACAGGGTTTCCTCCAGGATTTTTGTTAACTGTGAAGAAGGGCTTTACCTGATTACAATAAATGTAAACGTGTGTATCCCATTTGCCATCATAGCCAATAGGAGTGTTCCTATGCTGTTCTCAACTATTAGATTGGAGTTGATTTAAGCGGTTTTTAACCTTTAACTTGTGGGAAGGAACGGCAAGTGATTCACGCAACTGGATGGCCCAGCCAGGCTAGGGTGAAGCCACCGCGAGAACAGCACCCTTTGGTGATGGGCTGCAGTATAGGTCATAAATCCCGTCTCCTCCAGCAATCCTTATGGAGCTGTGGACAAATTTTAGGAATTAATAACACAGAATATAATTTTTTTTCTCCCCCTGCTTGCGATATTGACATGTAGTTACTGTAAGACTGGTTTGTGCTCGAGTCTTTTTTTTCTGTACAGCTCAATTTTTAAAAGTTATTAGGGGGTTCATGTGATTCATATGATTGATACTTGAAACAGCCTATGGGCGTACAAAGATTACGTAGCTCACCTGGAGGATAAACTGTTTGAGTTAAGCGTCATCACAGTGGCTCTCAGCAACTCTCCCGCTGAATGCGTACTGCGCAAGTGGTAGTTCCAGGAAGTACTGATAGCGATTCGGCTTCGGCCAAATTGTCCACAGTATATACAGTCTATGTACCCACCACAGTCCTGTTGCCATTATGTGTAAATGTACATGGTCCTGTTTGGAGCCATTTTGCTGTTTTGAAAAGAAAAGTTCTGGTTGTAGAGTTACCCTGCCTTAAACCAAACTTGAACAGAAAACGTGCATCTGTTTACCAACCCTGCATCCAAAACATGCCAAGATATACCAAAAAATAAATAAATAAATAATAAAAAAGGTCTCCTGCTTGTTTTTTTAGGCTTCTCCTCACTGCCAAACTTTACAAGCAACTTGTTTTTTCAGAAAATCCAACTAGAACACAGGCTCTGAAATGAAAAATAACCAAACTTGTTGCTATTGTTGCAACAGTTGTTGATCATGTACATAAACACTGTGTGTTAAAAAGTCACTAAGACTATATTACAGTTCATTTGAAGTCTTGGATAAAGCTAATGGTTGAAACTATAAACAATCCCCCAATATACATTTTTTTTTTATTTTGTTGTGTCTCAAAAAGTGGTCAAAAGTTTCAGTGGCCATATGGGGAAATATTTTAACAGGTCAGTAGACGGTGCACGGTCCCTGTGAGAGCTGACACCTATAGAGGCAACCACAGAATCATGCTGCAGCCAAGCTAAATGCATTGACTATTTTTTTTTATTCACAGGTAGGTTAATGTTCATCAGAACCAAACATACTAATGTGTGAAAAATTAACTTCGTAAGAAATAATGATCCATCACTAGAAGAGTGAGACTGTTTGAAAATCAGTGACAAACTCCTTATTATGGAAATTTAAAACTTTTTAAGTGCCTTCAACATGATCAGGCCAAAGCTGCTTGGAGAGAAGATGGGGAGGATGCGGGTCAGGTCTGAATTGTAATAGCTTGGGTTATGGACTGTCTCACATGTAGACCTCAGTATGTGGACCTGCACTCCTACTATAGTACTCTCTGGAAAATTCCCAAGTAGCACAGGTGCTCCAGTTCTTTCTCCATTCCTGTACACATCATACTTTTACTTTAGATCTGACAGCTGCTTTCTCCAGAAATTCTCTGATGACTCAGCAGTTGTGTGTCAGGGGAGGACAGGATGAAGAGTAAAGGGGCATTATTAAGCACTTTGTGGTTGGGTGTGACAACAACCATCTATAACTCAACATTTCAAAGACTAAAAAGATGGTAGTGGATTTTTCGAGACGGGCGGGCCTAAAACAACACCAGGTGCAGAGATGGAACTTGCTTTAGGTTGGAGGTAGGCAGGAGTACAGCCAGACCATAAACTTGACTGGTCCAACCACATGGAGGCGCTGTACAAAATTGGACAAATCCAAATCCTTAGGAAAGCCAGCTCCTTCATTGGGTCTAAAATGGACAGTATTCAGCAGGTAAAAGAGACAAGGATGA